GAAATCATATAAACGGCTGACTTTTCTGCGTAAAACAGTGACAAATTTAAGTTATAACTTGCCTACAGTTTCTTTCAACTTCCTTTTTCAAATATATCATTCTCAATATCCTTCTGGTTTTCTTGTGCTCTTATGCCTTTTTCGCAATTTTAATGATATCCTAGTCGCTATCACTGTATCCGTCCTAGGGACAGTTCCAGCGTCAATTTCGACAATGTCTACCACGAGCTTCATCATGCTTAAGGCAAACATATTGACTCACGCTGGATTATGGTGAAAGTAGTAACAGTAATAGGAGGATAATCAACAATGCTGGACCCAGCTTATCCGTCATCGATCAATGGCTAGTTTATTAGAGTCAGTTGGGGAAACCAGGTTTCCGATCGGCGTTAAATATGCAGTAGCGCTCCTGTTTCAAACGTTTTCTCACAAAGCATTTACTCACATAAACACATAGACGTTTGCGTTGCCTTCTTAGGTTCCTGAGTTCTCGTCGGGGACCAATTAGCACGTGAGCCGTGCAGATCGCCATCATCTGAAATTAAACTCAGGGGTTGGTTTTGAATTCCCTTGAAGATTATGACTACCCTCTCGTTCTTATTCTAATTAAGCAGAAGCCAAATCGGGGTACACATACGCCTTGTTGCTGTTTCTCGTCGTCCCCAAAACCGGTGACTTAGTCCGTCAAAATTGGCTGACTATACCTTATCTTCAAAAGTGTGTGGGCCCATAATAGTGAAAACATTAAGCTGTTACAGAAAATAGCCAAAAATTTTAAAAATTAGACCTTCGAGATTATTCCTATTGAAAACTGTATTCACATACTTCAACACTACCTAAACATGATTGTTGTAGAACTTGGGCTGCTCGTAAATCTGTCGAGGCTGCTAGATCTCTTGTCAGGGACTTTTCGTGGATTAGTAACTTATAATAATAAAATATGCCATAATTCAGTGACCGACTTTAAATACCATTCAATGTATTCTAAGGCGAGTGCGTGGCTCTGCTTATAGCCAACGTCGAGGATCAGTGGGAACAATGATCCTTAATTTTTACTGAATACCTTATAAAAATATTTTTTTCTGATTTAACTTATTCGACATTTTAAAGTTTTTCTTACAGCTTTCTGAAGAAAACAAATGACTCGGCGTTTGTTCTCGTATCATGTTGGGCACTCAAAACGACCCTTTATTAGTGCAATTCAAATAAGCTAGTCAAAAACTATGTGCTATATTATCTATTTGACGACATTACTGTTGGTTTAACAAATCACTCCGATGAAAAATTTGTAAAATTAACCGCAGCTGTGTTTTACTTATTTCTGGTCTTCTCCGTTTAGTACTTCTTCTTTTTGGATGGATTTCGCGGCTTACCTAGGACTTTAAAACAACATGCTGGCTTTCTACATGTTTTGTTAGGCTGGACTTCTTACTGTTTTAAATCTTTTGATTTTAACGGATTTCGCGTGCCCTGTGATCTAGGCACGAGCAGTGGACGCCCAGCGAGAACTCAGAAAGAAGGAACGGATGGAACGTGAGATGAACGAAGTTCACGATGAAGTTGAAGTCAAAATGGAAGAGATCAAGGCTGTCAATGCGGCCATCGAGAAGCTTCAGCAGGAGTTGCGAACCAGGGAGGAGGAGAACAGGGTGGTTAAGATTTCGCTGGAACAGACAAACCGTCAGCTGCAGGTAACAGATGCCAAACTCAAAGACGCGCAGCAAAAGTTGGATCAACAGATAGCGCTAACTGAAAGTGTGCGCAGCGAAAACCAGCTACTTACGGCTGACGTAAAGGCAAGTTGTCTTGCCTATCCAACTCATGACATACATGCAATAATAGCTGGGCGGAAAAGGCCCCTTATTTTGGGGAATTCTGTGCTGCGAGCGATAGCAGCTGGCTGACTGGCCAATTTGAGTCAAATCAGGTCACATGGCGGCTGCATTTGCATGATTGGGCTAGCGCACAGAGACCGCACCCCGCATTCGCACGTTTGGAGTACGTGCTTGCAAAGGGATGGACATCCGTACCCCATGTAACAAGCTTTAATGCCTACAAGTAGTAGTGATTTATGTTGTAAATAACAGCCCAGTTACTAGCTAAAAGGCTCAGACACGTGTTAGTTCTGTCATAAGTAATAGCACAGGAGATTCCTTTTATATTATACGTCTCCCAATTTCGTCAAAATTAATGCTCATTACCCCTAGTACACTTAACTAAAAGGGCGATTTTCCTAATTAAATGGTTTTTCAAAGAATTAAATCCACTCAATGAATCAAAATAACGTGACCAAATATATGCTAAACCACCAAGTCAAATTTCGTCATGAAAAGTGCACTGTTTTTGGGCGGTCTTCTACGCCGCATCCCCTCACTTCGTTTACCTCACGCGCCCTAGGCTATAAGGACTATTTTTGATTGTCTAATCATCGCGGAGGAGTCAACGAAAGCGTTTACGCGCCTACAGTTTCCTGTCAGTTTGGCGCTGTAATTTTTTGTGCCCTCCCAGACTTTTGTAAAAGTACTGAAATTCAAACTTCCGTGTAAGGGGCATTGCAGCAAAGATTAGAATGGGATGCTAAGAGCGGTAACCCAAAAAGGATTGACTTCAAAGCCTATAGAGCTTTAATGCATAAGGCTATTGTTAGCAACATCAAAGTCTTTTCTTTTGTTGATGGCCTGGTCGGGTTTTTTAACTTGAAGACTAAATACCGATGAAATAATGGGACTATAGACGTTTTTACTGAAGGCCATTAAATACCTTAACCAAAAATTGCTTAAAAGATACGTAGCGTTAGGCTATGTGACCATTTGCAGTCTGGAGACCACCCCCACCCCCCTTAATATGATAGTCTCTGAATAATTAAATCCTCCTTGGGTTCACCCAAAATGCAGAAAACCCGTTTGGGGACTTATCAGTTGTGACCCTGTGTATTAGAAACGTTGGAGTTTGAGTGGACTTCTCAAACCCCGAGGGACACAGCAAGTAAGGTAAAATCTCAGTAAACGGTTCAGTTAGTTACAGGGAGGATTCCATTGCGTCCATCTGTTATGCATAACTGGGAAGGTTACTTTGCTCGATCGTTTTCTCATAATGGAGAATTTGATCAGTAAGTCATAAATCTGGGATTTTAATCGCTAAATTGTTCAACTTGTATACTAATCAAGTACGACAGGAGCTTATAGTAGTTTGTGAATAAGGCCATATGTATGAGGTGAAACCAACAAAGACAACGTATATTGATTTTGTAACTTACCATACTAACAGCCTAGGTACTAGCTAGAAGGCCCAGACACGTGTTTCGCCGGTGTTCTGCCGCTGCTTGACAAAGCTGCGAGGAGTCCGGCTCAACAGTGGGTCCCCCAGCTTTCCCTGTTTGCTTACTGGTTGATATATCGCTTGATGATGATTAGCGATTGTGTCTGCTTGCCGATATTTGATCCTTCCTGAACAACCATGGACACTGCTGGACAAGGAGGCCGTAATTGCTTTAAAATGAGACAATCTGTAGCTTTTGCGCCATGCTAATCGATACCTGAGTGTTAAGTGCGTATAACCTATGCGAATGTTAGAAGACTTTGGATTTTTTGCACTTATTTTCCCGAAGGCACTGGGCCAGTCTACTCAAATAAGTTTAATCCCTTGAGAAGACTCCCACACATTTATAACCTTACATATCTAGTAGTTATTGATCGTGTCCTTGGAAGAAAATGTTACTATTGCACTCAAACAACAGCCAACCTCTTAAAAACAGCAATACTTGGGTAGTCAAATGAAACTCGTCATGGGCAGTCCGAAGGGCGGAATGGTCTATCGTCTAGACTTAATCTGACGAAAAGTTGATTTTACTGTTATTATTTCGTGAAGTGCTGTTTTTTTCCGGAATAAAGGCAAAGGCGACGAACTACGCAAAGTTATGCAACAAACTGAGATAGTATGTTTCTGCTACTACAACACACATGCACAAATAGGGAAATCAAAGGCGATCCACCTACATATCCTTCAAAGATACTGATACTGTATTGACGTCATCAAATTTCGTGATCCCTTATTCGCCTGCGTATGGTCATCGTCTCCACTGTCTGATCAATTGCTGGGGGTTCTATATCTTCTAGTAAAGACAAATCATAAAACTTCTACTTATATAAATTTCCAAGCTTATTTTGGGCATTTTTAGTTCTGGTGATTGATTAACCACCGACGACGTTGGGAGAACGGAAGGTTCCCCCATCTCAGCATCATACGCCTTCCTCTGGCGTACAATCCGCTTGTCTATAGTGCTCGGATGAAAACCTTAATACAGTAGTCGCCGGCTATTAAGCCCACGGTTAATAAGCCCAGCTGCGTATTAA